TAATGGGATTGCTGGGTCAAATGGAATTTCTATTTCTAGGTCCTTGAGGAATCGCCACACTGTCTTCCACAATGGTTGAACTAATTTACACTCCCACCAACAGTGCAAAAGTGTTCCTATTTCTCCACATCGTCGCCAGCATCTGTTGTTTCCAGATTTTTTAATGATCGCCATTCTAACTGGCGTGAGATGGTATCCCAATGTAGTTTTGATTTGCATTTCTCTGATGACCAGTGATGTTGAGCATTTTTTCATATGTTTGTTGGCCTCATATATGTCTTCTTTTGTAAAGTGGCTGTTCATATCCTTTGCCCACTTTTGAATGGGCTTGTTAGGTTTTTTTTTTGTAAATCTGTTTTAGTTCTTTGTAAATTCTGGATATCAGCCCTTTGTCAGATGGGTAAACTGCAAAAATTTTTTCCCTTTCTCTTGGTTGCCAATTTGCTCTAATGACTGTTTCTTTTGCTGTGCAGAAGCTGTGGAGTTTGATTAGGTCCCATTTGTGGGTTTCTAAGATACTAGCAGTATTCTTAAACCAGATGGTATGAACATGTGTTTATGTATTATTTTTTAACCTGCCCATACAGAAATAAAAACCTCCATTTATGTGTGTCTGTATTACACAGTAAAAACTTTTTTTGGAAATGCATTAAAATGATATTTGAAGTATTTTTACATCAGTGTGGTAGTCATACCTTCCACTTTTACAATTTAAAAATAGGTACAGTCTGTAAATATGTTGTACACCCACGAAGAGCAACAGTATTTCCCTTTACTTCTTTGAAAAAAAAAATCTAACCTTTGCTTGTCTTTCCCTTCCAGTTATTATTACATTGTATTAAAGCAGAGAAATAAGTAAAATAACCTAAGCCAATGCAGTGAAAAAGAATAAAAGTGTGTTTGACTAAAATCATAAGCCTTCTGCTCACCTTTTGCTTTCAAATCACAATATTCCAGGAATAGTGCTTTGCATTTCTATAATAAATAGAAAATTTTCTGTATCTCTAATAATTTTATTAGGTGTCTAATAGAATAATCTTCGCAAGGTAGAATTTCCATTGATTAGGCATAACTCATGGAAGGCTGTACTGGTTTGAAATGCAGTTTATGTAGCAGGGTTTTTTTCAGTAGAGTAAATTACACCACCTTTATCTTGTTTACTGAAGAGACCCATTGCTGATTTATTTGCCTTTGTGCATGTTTGTGACCTGACCGATCTTACCAATAGATTGCTCACTAAAGATAGATAGTGCCAAGTGTAGGATAACTTTGTTTTACTGTGTTGCTGGTTGCCACCAGTGGCTCTAGGCAGTCTACGTGGGTATTGCCAATCCGAAGGTGCATAGATCAAAAAAAGAGAGAGGCTGGGCACGTGGCTCACACCTGTAATCCCAGCACTTTGGGAGGCCTAGGCGAGCAGATCACTTTAGGTCAGGAGTTAGAGACCAGCCTAGCCAAGATGGTAAAACACCTGCTCTCTACTAAAAATATAAAAATTAGCCGGGCATTGTGTTGCACACCTGTAATCCCAGTTACTCGGGAGGCTGATGCAGGAGAATTGCATGAGCCAATAAGCTGAGATCACACCACTACCCTCCAGCCTGGGGGACAGAATAAAATTCCATCTCAAAAAAAAAAAAAAAAAAGAGAGAGATTGAGAGAGAGACAAAGGAAACAGAAAAGGAGGTACGAAAAGACTTGGGATTGTGTTTTGACACTTGTTCTAAAATACATGGCCTGGTTTTGCTCTGGGTACCCCTGAACTTCATGCAAAAGCCAGTACATAGAAAAAAGGGTGAGGCTTTATAGATTTGATGATGACTTTCATCCTTCAGTGTTTCTTTTCATGTCCTATTTTGTCTTTTATGTTTTTTTTCCTGCAGTATTTTACAGGAAGGGAAGGTCCATTAGAGCCAAAGCTGGTCTTGAATATTTAAATGTTAACTTAAATAGTTATATTTCAGACAGCATAATTTTCTTTGTTATTTTTTTCCTATAACAGAGACCTTCTATAAGTTTGTCTTATTTTTTTTTTGTTTGTTTCTGTAGACACTGTTGATTCCATTACTCCTGACAAAGTACGAGGTTTAAGGGATATGTTGAACAGCAGTGCAATGGACATAATGTATTATACTAGTCCACTTTATAGAGATGAAGTAAGTATCATGATTATCTTGCTGTTGGGTATTTTTTAGTAATAGCTTACAAAATGTCCTGAATTTTAATGTTTTATGATTTTTTAAAAGCAAATGAGAAATAACAGGAATTTATTAATCTGTAAATTAGCCTATTTTTAATAATAAATTTGATAGTCTTCAAACGAGACATTGGGACCCTTAATAAAAGATAGTCTCAGGGGTCGGGGACTGGTCAGAAAATGGCTCTCTGAGAAATAACAGATTTCATAAATCTGATTAATTATATCTTTGATTGTCTTCACAAAAGAGTTTTATACATAAAATGTCCTTTAAATTTTTTGCATGTGATGGACTTTTATTGCCTCACTTCTGTAATGGAATCGGACAGTTTTCAAATGGTACTTTTGCTGATGCCTCCCAAGAGTAACACTAAGGGTGAGAGGTGAAGGTTTATTCAAGAAGATGAGAGAATCTCCATCAAATGCATTTTGTCACTTTATTGATAAGAAGGAAAGGAATTCTGTTTAGTAGGAATAACTAACATTTGCTAATTGCCTAACGTGTTAACTTGTTTAATTCTTATTTTAAAAAGCCCTGTGAAGTAGGTATGATTAGTATCCTCATTTGAAGGATGAGGAAACTGATGCCAAGAGAGACTTGCTCATTGTGTCTCACTTAATAAGTGGCAAAGCCAGGATTTGAACCCAAGCAATATAGCTACAGAGCTTACACAGAGTTTACCACTCCCCTCCTCTGTGTTCACGATATAGCCAGTCTGTCTGTTATTTATTGGCCGATTATTTTGACTTTGCTGGGCCTTAAATCAGTAAATATTTAGTGAGTCTCTACTCTATACCAAACACCGGCTAACAGGGGGCCACTTTACTGTAAACTGTTACCCCTCATTAGCAGGGAGACAGGGAAAATCAGTTCAAGTGTTTGAAAGTAAGATTGGTTGCTTTGGTAACAATTATTTATCAAGAATCCAGGTAAGATTTGATAATATATATGTATACTGAATCAGCTGGTTGAAGATGTTTTGAAATAAGAGTATTGTCTACATGTTTATTGAAAATTTGTTTATTGAGAACTTAGTATATATAAGATATTATACAAGGAGGAGGAGTCTCTGCCTTCAAGAAAGTTTAAAATATTACAGTACATAGGTCCACCTTCATGAAATGTGGTGTCTAAGGAAGAAAAATCCATGAAAATGTTTGCAATTATTCTTTTTTTCCCTCTGAAAGAAGTCTTTAGGTTTATTGTTATAGTACTTAAGATAAATTACATTTCCATACTTCTACATAATCATATATGGCCCCAATTTTTGTTCTAAAAACCATGCAGCAGAAATTATGTTTTGCAAATTTTATGTGAGCTCTACAGATAGACTATCTGATTCCAGTCCCACTGTAACACTTAATTTTTATGTGGCCTCTCTATCTGTGAAGTCGATATTCTAACAAGTAGCTACTTTATAGTGTTCTTGTAAAGATTAATTGAGGTAATACTTACATTAACATGTGGCCCTTGGCAGTCAAGAATTGCTATTATTACAGGTATTATAATATCAAATCATTTTAGTTTCTGAATTCTGAGTAAAATTCTCCAATGCTTAAACAGATGTGTTGCTGCCTATAGATACCTCTGCTTTCATAAGAGAAAGAAGGGTTTGATGTTTTGGTCGGGAGCTTGCTTTCTTTTATCAAATTTTTTAATCTAAAAATATTCCTAACTAAGCTTTGAAAAACTAAGTCTGGAATGGAGCCTGACGGTAGGATTTAATGTATATGTTTACTGTATAAAGATCATAGATTTCTTAAGATTCCATAACCTGTAACTATCTTTATAATAGACATGTAAAGTATTTCAGAGTTAACAGGTTTATTGTTTTATATGTATTAATTTATAAATTTAATTTGCCAAATATTTTCTGAGCACATTTTGACACACTTTCATTTCTATAAGCTAGTAAAGAGACATAGATTTGGCAAAGGAAGTAACAGATGCTGTTGTTTGTATCTAATTTCTCCCCAGTATTTTTATGTTCTTGAGGATGGAGAAAGGAAAAAACAGTTTTATCCCATACCCCAATTCTATCTTTAGAAATTCAAGCAAGTAATAACAAGGTTCTAACCCAAAATAGTGTCAATAGGAATAAAGAGAAGAGATGGATTCAAAATATGATAGAATTAAGAGGTCTTGAAATGATTTGTTAAGAGTGATACTGGAAGGGAAGAGACAGATGATGCTCACAATTTCTCGCTTAGGCAATGGTAGATGGTTCCAATATTAACTATAAACAGAGAAAGGGGAACCAGATTTTTGCAGGGGATCTTAGTATGTATAAGAGTAGAACATAGAGAAAATAATGAATTATACTTGTAAAGTTTTTTACAGGTAAAATCATATGTACTTGTAAAATCGTGTTTATGATTTCCTTCTGGAGTTGTATAGCACAGACTATAATATTTAAAATGAAACTAGTGAGAGTGGAGGGAGGAGGATAGCAGAGAGCATGTTACCATACACATACACATACGCATACATGCATATATATGGTGGGTGGCAACCCTAAGAGGGCTCAAAGCTCTGGCCATTGGCTAATGATGACTGAGCAAATGGTCACTTTCTGTAATGTTCTTATATGTGGAAAGATAACTATCCTCATAAGGTAACTGAATAAAATAGATATTCAGTAGGAAGAGGGAACCAATGGCTATGATAAATGGGAGAGAAAGGGAACACCCAGTTCTTTGAATTAGTTTGTCTTTTGATCCAGATGAATTTCATCGGAGAGCACTGAGGACTTGTGACTGAGATTCATCAGCACACTTTAGCAGAGATTTTCAGATATCCCATCCCCAATTAGAATCATTTCATACTCATTAAAAATAACAGGAAAAATAAAACCCGGGTGGGGGTGGTGGGTACTGGAATTTGAGGGTATCATTGTAAATTCAGCAATTTCTAAATTATGCAGGTGTGTTGTAGGTATTACTTAAATATATAGGTGAATATGTATGTATACAGGCATACCTCAGAGTTCAGACCACTACAATAAAGTGAATGTCACAATAAAGCAAGTCATGCAAATTTTTTGGTTTCTCACTGCATATAAAATTATGGTTACACTATACTATAGTCTGTTAAGTGTGCAACAGCATTGTGTCTAAACAAATATATGTACCTTAATTTTAAAAGAGTTTATTGCTATAAAATACACATAGACATGAAATGAGCACTTTGGAAAAATGGCACCAGTAGACTTACTCAACACACGGTTGCCACAAACTTTCAATTTGTAAAGAAAAGAAAAAAAATGCAGTGTCTGCAAAGTGCAATAGAACAAGGTATGCCTGTTCATATGTATATTTCCTAAATTTGTTCACTGAAGTGGCCAAGAAGCAGACACCCTAGTTGAGCATACCTAGCATCCAGATCTTTTCTTCTAGTGCTATTATTTCATGCTAAGGAAAACCAGGGTTGCTCAGGAAAATGGCTGATTCTGGGGCTAGGACAACTTACGACAGAAGGTAGGAAGATGCTCAAGAGAATCATGGGGCAGGTCACAAGAACACAGGGCCAAATTAAAGAAGCAGCTCTCACTAGCCAAATCTGGAACAGTTTGAGCACCAAAATATTTAATTATTGTTACTTAAGGAATTATTAGTACTTTTAATATGGAATTATATTAAGGATAATGTAATAAGGAATTATAAATCATTTAAAAAATTATTACAAGTTCATATTGACTATAAATAAATAAATAGGGAGAAAGGAGGATCCTTGCTTACAGTAGAATGCCAAAGGCCTGATGGAGGGAGTCCTGGAGTTGGAAAGCTATTTTGCAGCTGTTATAATAGGATTAGGTAAGAGAAGATTGGACACATATTATTGATGGATACTAAATTGAAGGCAGTATTTTGATGAGGATCAGGATATTTACATGGTCATAAACTATATCCTGCTTTTACCTGGTCATAAAAAAATAAACATTATTCATTTGAGAAAGAGTGACAATAATTATATGCTGGAGAAATCAAGCAATACCTAAACTGGGTATTCCTGAGGAACAGATAAACATTATGCACCTCCAGATATGACACACACAGAGGTGGACACAACATCACTTATACAGTATACTGACGATGATGAAACATCAGACAAACACAAAACAAGGATGTTGTAATACAAAGTAGGGATGAGACTGTATTCTTTAAAAATATTATCCAGCTGGGTGCAGTGGCTAATGCCTGTAATAATCCCAGCACTTTGAGAGGCCATGGTAAGAGGATCACTTGAGCCCTGGAGTTCTAGACCAGCCTGGGCAACATAGCCAGACCCTGTCTGTACCAAAAATAATTTTTTAAAAAATTAGCCAACTATGGTGGTTTGTGCCTGTAGTCCCAGCTACTCAGAATGCTGAGGCCAGGGAGGATTGCTTGAGCCTGGGAGGTCGGGGCTGCAATGAGCTGTTCTCATGCCGCTGTACTCCAACCTGGGTGACAGAGTGAGACCCCCATCTCAAAACAATAAAACAAAAATCAGTATCATAAAGGCAGCGTGGCTGCAGAAAATGTTCCTGATTAAAGGATGCTAAAGAGAAATGTAACTAAATACAGTGTCTCATCCTAGACTGTATCCTGTACTGGACTGGGGAAACTGCAGTAAAAGACTTTATTAGATACACCGGCAGAATTGGAATGTGGATGGTAAATTAGATGAAATACTGTATCAAAATAAATTTATAAAGTTGATTACTATGATTATAGAAGAGAATATTCTTAGTTTTAGAAAATATACAATGAAGAATTTAGTGGGTAAAAAGACCATGACATACATAATATATCCTTAAATGGTTCCCAAAAAAGGTGAGGGTCTATGTGTGTGTGTTTATTACAGAAACAGAACAAGCAATAAAGCAAATGGGATAAAATGCTAACAATAGGTAAACCTGGGTAAAGGTTGTATGAGTGATCCTTGTGCTATTTTTATTTTGCAACATTTTATACATT